CTTCCTGGCATGCAGGAACGAGCGCCTCACCAAATCTACAGGTGAGAAAGAAGAACCTAACATGAGCCGTTCTGGTTTTATCCACCTTCTCCAGCGCATCCAGTGGATCAGCCCTAAGCTCCTTGACCAACATATGTCTCGCATCCTCCTTCGTCATCCTACTCTGATGAAGAAGGGTACCCCTGATCGGTATATGTAACAGACAGGAGATGTCGTTCAGTGTGATCGTGAGCTCGCCGTGCGGTAGAGGAAGGAGGACGTCTCAGGGTGCCATCTCTCCGCAAAGCCCATCAACGTCCTGTTGTGGATCACGCTGTAACCGATCTCACAAATATCCTTCAAACCAGAGGCGGCAAGGACATTCTGGAACCAAGCCTCCTGTGGCTGCTCCAAAAATAATATCTTCCGCTTGTGGTTATAGAACTTCTACGGGGGACGAGTCTGACAATTTTCATAAATAAAAGAAAATGTTAATAAGAAACAATGGTACAAATTATAAATTTCCATTGAAAAAAAGATACAATATGAGTAATGTTGCCTCTCCATTTCAGACATGTCTGGCAATATGGTCAGCGTACCGTGTCAACAGGGACATATCTGAGGGACCCCCTGAGAAACCCTCAGGCTCATCATCATCGTCGTCACCAGCATCTTTCGGTGGTGGGTCATCACCCTCTAGAGGTGGCACCGGATCAATATCAGAAGGAGAACTTGGAGTATCCCGGCGAGGCCTGCGGGAGGACGGGACATGTGATGAACCCTCAGTTGAATCTCGACGCCTCCGGGATGAAGTAGTGGATGATGGGTGGGCTACGAGGTCGATGGAATGTCCTGGGCATGTGATGAAGAAATATGTGACTCAACTGTATTTGGCTCGGTAAAGGGGGTTTGGCTTCACTCGCGTCTCACAGATGCATGTTGTGAAACTCGTCCAAGTCGCAATCTATCTTCTCTGTCTGCCATAACGTCTACAAGGTATAACCAATAAAAAACAATTAGATACAAATAAATTTAAAAAAATAAATAAAATAAAAAGTTAACATTTTTTTATTTTCGGATGTATACATGCAGAAAAACCCAGAATTCAGAAAGTTAGACTTGTTTCGTAGCTGCATCTCCGAAATTACCCTAACGTTTATTTGTTCCGTAGATGTAGCTCTGAAACTTCCTACAACTCCTACAACAATGTCAATGGCGTCCCCCACCCAAGAAAATCGGTTTTTTCAACCCCCGATCATCCATTTAAGCCAACAAACAATACCTACATTGTCTCTAAACTATGTTTCTAAAACTATCTAACGATATCTACCCCTAAAATTATATTATAACTTGTTTACGGGAAATACTCGAAAATACCTTAGAAACTCGAAAGCTTACGATTATATCGAGCTTTGAATGAGTTGGAGTGTCTTGATCATTGAGATTAATGTTCCTTGTCAAACTTGATTGAAAACAATTAAGTTTGGTGGAAAATTTTTTTTTCCGAGGTTTGAGAGAGTTTGAAGAGTTTGAGAGTGAGAACTTGAAAAATGAAGAATGGGAGAGGAGAAGGACTCTGGCGCGAATGTATTCTGATTTTCTTCGGAGCTATATAAACGGAAATATTTCGTAGATGTAACTCCGGAAAAAACCAACGTTGAGTAAAAAAAGATGCGTCCAGAAATACATCTTCGAAAGTAGGGGATATTTTTGGAAGCACAAATGGTGCCTAAGAACCCCAAGGGGTGGGGTAAGAAACTCTCTTACCACATTTCCTCTAGGTAAGAGAACTGTTGGTTGTAAGTAGGTCTACAAAATCATGTTTATATTTGATGGCACAATTGAAAGACACAAAGGAAGATTAGTTGCTAAAGGTTTCACCCGAGTAAAAGATATAGACTTATTTGACACTTTTCTCCTATTTCTAAACTCATCATTATAAGATTACTTCTTCATTAAATTTGCATTGACGACAACTAGTCGTGTAAAATTCTTTTTTACATGGTAATTTGGACGAAGAGGTATACGTGAACTTACCCCAAGGCATCAATCCCTCTCATTCAAGCAAACTTTTTAAAATCATTATATGGTCTTAAACAGTCTAGTATGCAGTGGTTTGCAAAGTTATATGTTGCCTTATCATCTCACAACTTTAAACAATACTCTACAGACGATTCTCTTTTCATACATCAATCTGCTACCTCATTTACTACCCTATTAACTTATGTTGATTATCTTATAATTGCAGATAATAACATCGACACCATACAAAGCATAAAGAACACCCTGCATCATTATTTCAACATTAAAGACTTATGAACTCTCAATTATTTCTTAGGCCTTGAAGTAACACGATCAAGCATGTGGATCCATATTTGTCAAAGAAAATATATCCTATACATTCTATCTAATACATGTTTGCACTTGTTTGTTGCAAACTGAAGGCAACCCCTCATCAGAGCCAACTCTTTATCGAAGATTCGTTCGCCAACTCATTTATCTTCTCAACATAAGGTCAAGCATTGCCTATGTTGTCCAACAATCAAGACAACATATAACCAACCCAACACATCTCAATTATGATGCTACAATTCGAGTCCGCACTACCTAAATTATCTCTAACCCGAAGAATTCTCCATTAAAATTAAAGGCATTCTTCTAATCTGATTAGGCCACATGTACAAATACACTACATTCCATTAGTGGTTTTGCATTTACCTAAGAAGCTAACTGATTTTATTGAAATCAACGAAACAACCAACGGTCTCTAAAAGTTCCACTGAAGCAAATATCGAACATTGACTTCCACGGTTTGTGAACTCTAATGGCTCACAAATATTCTACAAGACTGCAATTTTCATTCACTAAACCAACCTTTCTATACTATGACAATGCATCTGCAAGACACATTGCTAGCAATTCTTCATTCCATGGATGAACTAACCATATTGACTTGGACTGCCATATAGTTCGTAAAAAGCTTTAGCAAAGCCTTTTTCATCTAGAACTTTTTCATTTGTTCCTTGCCTCTTCTTCTCAACCGGTAATAGATCTTTCAATGTTATTTTGCTTAAGCTTGGAGCTTATGGATACTACCTCTAATCCTAATTATAAGAAAAAAATTATTTTTTAATTCAATCAATAACTTAGTATTGAGCTAGTTATTTTTGTTATTAGTTTATAAGGTGTATAGACAAGTACATATTTCACTTGGATCTCTCATTTTTATTCATTTCATACTTTGATAAATACATCAAGCCTTCAAAACTATTCAATATGTGCTTTCTATCATACACATGACAAACATGATATGTAATAAATACCTATAACCATTTATAACTATATCTAACCACCACAAGTTTGGGAAGTCTAAATTGACATATCCAACTTGGAAATACCTATAACGAACTATAACTATATCTAACAACCACCACAAGTTTGGGAAGTCTAAATTGACATATCCAACTTGGGATAAACACTAAAATCCAATATGGAGGACCCGTACAATAAGAACTAGACTTGGAGACTGTTGTACTTGGATCATGTATGCAAACAAAATTTGCAGTAGTAGTCTTATTGATTGATCCATCATGGACCAAAGTATACGTTGGTGCTATAAGTTTTATTCCCTCTTTACGAACCTTTTTATGAATTTAGTCGGAAACCTGGACGGAATGGTGGAGTTAACAGAAAAAAATAATAATATCATACATTGTTTATTACCTAACAAGAGTGGGAACGGACCTAAACTGTGGTTTCACATTGTTTTCACCTTTTTTATTTCAAAGTTTTGTAAAGAAAACAAAAACAAGGTGACCTTTTTTGAATTAAAACTGAACAAAAAAGTAAATCAACGAATTAAAACAAAAACTAAACAGACCCTATATTAGCAATTACAATTATATTAGAAGCAAGCATGGCAAGATATTTTTTATTTCCCTTATTTTTAAAAGTTAAAAGTTTTGCAGCACACACGTGGTAATTACTGATTAAACACTTTCAGGAATACATCATAAAACAACTCATCCAAAATCTATTTGTAGTCATAAACCATGTCATGTTACCATCCTAAAAAATCAAACTGATGCCGCAAGTTCTCACGTCATTTTTCTCCCTCCGGTAATCTAATTCAAAGTGAAGCTCAACAAGGGTACATACCTATTTATCAAAATTCATATAAAGCATCTCCCAATGGGGTACAGTGAAAATCACAACAGAAAAATCATCTAAATCAAAGCTCTTCTTCAATCTGGCTCCTGAAGATATAGCATACCACTATTCATGAACTATAACGGCTACAACTTCCAAACAAAACAAAAACCTCAAGTACTTTTTGTTAAGCATCCATCTGTAGTTTCTGTACGCTCCTAACTAGACTTCAATTAACCATCTGCATGTTTTCAAATGGAAGAAATTGACACAACTTCAATGGAACCAACTGTATAAGCTTTTTTTAAGAACGTGAATACAAGTTTGCTTGTAAACTCAAATCAAATCATTAATGGAAAAATTATACAAAAACTGACTATATATAAAACATCTGTGTCTGACATGTGTGAGTATCCGACCACGACACATGTGATTACGTTCAATTCATTCATTTTTCAAATTATTACTGGTGTTGTGTCGGTCTCGGTGTTTGTGTTTCAGATCCATTAACACACCCTTTCTGCAGCTCTTAGCCTCTTAAAACTCTCTATGATTGCTAATAACTAGTTGCTTCAGTTTCACAATAGATAACCTCCATGCTAACTTGTAACAAGTTAACATAGAACATCAAATGTTATTTTATATTTAGTTTCGACAGTAAACTAGGTCTTAAAATAGAAAGATGTCAAGTGAAAACATGGTCCTATGAGAGTACTAATACACAAATACCTACCTAGATGGCACATCTATGGACATTGTTTTTGAGAAACTAATAGACAAACTGGTGTATAGGTAAGGAATCAGGAGATGCTTTTGAGCAACTATGTGCATCAAACACAAATATAAAGGCATAGCATGCTCTTACTGCGTACCTACTGCACCTTCTTTTCTTTTTTTGCACGATTTGGAATAATGGTCAAAATAATGCTGTGAATCTTTCGATAATGTGGGTGAATAGCCTCATGTACAATGTGTATCTTCTCATCGCATCGATCTTGGTACTTGTCATACAACACAGGAAGAGACAAGCTAAGAAGAACACCTGACGAGATCATTAGAGAAATATTAAAACCAAACTTTCCCTGAGAGAATTTCAAAAAATATATGTTATAGCATGTATGAGCTATAGAAGCATAGAACTTACATATATAGATCAAAGTCAGAAAGTTAAACAGACTACCAATGTAAGATATTGTCAACAATACACCAACAACCTGATTCACCAAGTTCACACAAACAAGTGTCAATGTAAAAAAAAAATTGCTTCGCTCAAATTCATCGAACTCATTATAAACAAATACAAGCAGAAAATATAGCCCAGTACCTGTAGACAAAGCAACAAATTCCTCTCAATTGCTATATCATGTGCAACAGACAAAGCCCGATTTATCCAAATTTGAAGTACATCGGCAAACTTCCCAATAGTTTCCTCCGAGATCTCCAGATCAGGCAGAGGAGGTAGTGGTCTGACATAAAAGTAAAAACACTTTCAATCATAAAAGGTATCCTAACCGATCTAAAATCTCTCTTTCTATATAGAATGTGTGACAAATGATAAATAAATCTCTCTGTCTAACAAATTAAAATTCTGCTAGAGACTTGACGTCCTCATAGTTCTTTCACATGGATCATTCTTAGAACACTTAACAAAGCAAAGCATCTCTATGCACTAAATTTTCCCCTCAAAACAAGATTCCTTTTAAACTCAGAATCGAACAAATTTAAGCAATCAAAATTCGCAACAAGAATCTCATTGAAAATGCAAAATGATCATGAAGAAGTAAAACACCTATTAAGAAGATTAGCAGCTTTAGCCCATAAAAACAGAATCACGACGAGAAGCAAAATCACATTAGCCACAAACGACAAGAAGTTATAACCGGCTCGCTCAAACAGATACCACAATGTGGTTGCCGAACTCAGCACCGCAACTCCTCCACGCCAATTCTTCCATAGCAGCACATCAGCAACTAACGCAAATCAAATCAAATATAGTCAACTCCGATTAATCGAATCATAAACAAGATCAATTGATAACAGTAAGTAACAGAAGTAAAGGATCCATAGCAGATTGAACGAAATCGGAAAGAGAGAGAAGCAGAGAACCTAAGCCAGCGCCGAGAGCGTGATGAACGGAGATCCGTTTAGGTTCTACCATGGCGATTGGGGGAATTTGGTGTTGAGTGCAGAGTTGAGAGTAACAACCGGATATTAGAAGAAAGTGCGGTTAGAGTTACGGTTACGGTGGCTATTTCTTCTTTCGGTTTTTGTCATCATCTACTATTCGCTGTTTCTGCTTACAAGAGGAAAGAGAAAAACGACATGCGTTACGACTCTGTTTAATCACGGGCTGGGCTTATCAGGCCCGTTTCTTGTAACTCACGCCGGACCAAATTAGTTGGACCCGGACCCCTATATCCCACCTACCCATCTTGAAAATAACCCGACAATTACCTTTTTAACCTTTTAAGTAAACAAATTTAATTTTAAATTTTTTTATATATATACTTGAAAATGAAGAAAAATGGAATTTTTATTTTTATTTAATATTTTTACCAGGTGAAAATTAATCATACCATATCATATTTTTATCCTATATTAAATCGAGTGATATACATGAAATCTCTAGAGTGTGTTCAAACATCAAAAATATATTTTCGAAAATGTGACACTTGAAATGCAACTATTGCATGTTTTAAATTTTTTAAAATTGTTTTTAGATTTTTTTTATTCCAACAAATATTATTACACATGATTTTTCTGATATTTTTATGTTTAGAGGGTGAGAATTCAACATTCCCATTAAAATAACATTCAACTCCCACTTAATACTCACAATTATTTTATTTTTAATTTTAGTAAAATTTGTAAATGTTCTAAGAAAATATAATTTTTGACCTAACAAATGGATAAAAATATGAATCATAGAAATAATAATCATGAATATATAATTTCGAGAAATATTATTTCATAACTTGAACCCCACGCATCTTTAAATATGTAACATCCACCCCATCAAAACTATCAAATATTCAAAAACTAATTTTATAGTAATTAAAAAATTAATTTTCTCAATTTTGAAATTTATTAAAAAACTTTAAATTTTCTGCACTTTCTCTCAAACGAAAAATCTAGAACAATAAATATGTGACATTTTTTTACTGTACATTTGAATATTTTTCAAAAATACAAATTGTTATTTTTGAACTATTCGTCATTGAAAAATGCATAGTACAAAGTAAATTTAAATTTTTTTTCCACACATTTTTGTACGAATAAAACTTACATAGAGTAAAATTTTCACATATTTTGTTTGAGTTATGTATGTTAAATGTAATTTTTTTGGTTTAATATTCTTTTTAGTCTTATATCTTTGGGTCTTAGTTCATTTTTGTCTTTTTACTTTTAAAAATACCAATTTAATCCATAAACTTGTTAAAAGATGTCACATACATCCTTACCATTTAATTCCCACAAACGAAGTTTATTTTGGTATATGTGACATCCCAACAAGCATATGTATCATCACCATCATCATTTTCTCTAGTTTCTTCTCCATACATATGAATGAATTAACCATATATATGTTTGTGAGATTTGGTTTTTGTGATAGATGACATGCTTACATGAATGCATGTGTGTTTATTAGAAACCTTTTTGTTCTGGTCATGGGTGTCGCATCAAAGAAATTAACATTCAGAGACATCTCAACTAGGGAGGTTCTTTTTTCCTATTTGTTGAGGGTTTAAATAGCTTTGCTCGAATATGAGTTTATATATGTCTTTCTTCTAGTTTTAAATTAAGAACCTCGGATGTAGTGGTCTTCAATATTTAGTATACGGCCAATACTTTTAATTTGAGAGAGGCGTCATTTGATAATCTTCGGGTTATTAAAATTATTCTCAAATTTTTTGAGGTTGCTTTGACTTCAGGTGAATTTAACTAAAGCTTGATTGGGGTCAATATAGATGTTAACTTTATGGTTATGGCGGAAGGATTTCTACATTGCAAACAAGAATCTCTTTCGTTCAAGTATCTTTGGATTTTGGTTGGTGCTAACACATGCAAAGGAACTATCGGAAAACCTCTCATTCTATTCAGCTCAAAAAGGCTTGTTTCATGTGTAACAAATATGTCACTTTGAGTGGTATAGTGGTTATTTTAAACTTTGTCCTTAATTATATCCCTGCTTTCTTTCTTTTTTCTTGAAATTCTTAATAAAAATTTGGAATACTTTGGTGAGACTTTAGACGAGCTTACTTTTGAGAGGTGTAAAAAATAACTTTAAAATCTTCTAGAATTCATGGTCGGATTTTTCCAAGACAAAGAGTGTGGGAGTTATGGGTTAGAGATATGCATTTTGTCAACCAGACTCTTTTAAGTAAAAGGAGATAGAGGTATCTTCATGGTGATGGTTTTTAACTCGATATTATTATTACTAGATATGAATTCGGTGTTAGTTGTTCTTTGGTTAGGGGAAGGTCGGAAGGTTTTAGATTCATTAAACTTGATGGAAAGTGATATCTCTTCTTAGTATTGACCCCGGGGATATCCCTCCTTAGTATTGACCCCAATGCTAGTTACGACTGGTTTGCAAAAGGTATATCAAAGAAGGTGAAAAATGACATGCATATCTTTTTTTGGGATGACCCCTAGCGGGATCTCATCTCTTTTGACATAATCTTTTCGAGACTTTATTTGATTTTGTCTTGACATACTAGGAAGTTAGGAGTTTTGGATTAGTGGGTGAGTATTGCATGGGTATGAAACCTTTGATGGAAGATATTTTTTTATTAAAGCTCGAGCTTTTAGATAATTTGGTCTCGATCATAGAGGGGGTTTTCTTACACTTTTTTGGAGGATATTTGGATTCACACTCTTGTGAAGGATGACTTGTACTCTTTCAAAAAGGTGTATAATTTTTTTTCTTTAAACCCGACCTTGCAACCAAATAATCTTTCTCTTGAAGTAGGTTGAGTTATGCCTCTTATTTAGAATGTTTGAGCTCCCTCTACGGTTATAGTTTTTTCTTGACAATCATTTAGGGATATGATTCTTACGAGGGATAATCTTTTTAAGAGTCAGGTGATTGTAGATCTGAATGAGCTTTCTTGTCATCTATGATGTAGCATCATCTCTTTAGTACATTATTTTTAGGTGGTTGGGATAGAAGTTGGTGTTATCTAGACATTTAGTGTTTGTTTTTTAGTTATGCAAATCTCTTGTGGCTAGGTCTAGAGTTAGAATGTACTTTAACTTAGGTTGGCACTAGGTATGTCAATTTGCATCTATTAATGAGGATTTCATAGGGATTATCTGTTCAGGGCTCTATAGTCGAGGATTTTTCCCCCGCCAAGATGGGGATGGAGGAAAAAGTTTTCCCGATGACACTTCAAGACAGAGATCGAGGAAGTACCCTCTGCCCTACGGATTCCCCGACCCTACCATATTACTTAACATTTATATATATAATATATAATTATATAATTTATGATGTTTTTTATTAAAAAAATATACAGAATTACACCATAGGTCCTTTAACTTATTTTTGTGTAACAGATTGGTCAGTAAGTTTTTTTTGTAACAACTCGGTCCTTTTAGTTGATTTTTACATCATTTTCTCATATTTTAAATATTTATAAATTTTTTATTGTTGTATTTATGGTTGCACTTCATCATTTTCATACCATTCAAAATAATTGCATTCACAGTTAGCATTTTTACTTTGTTAAGAAAATGGTAACAGTGCACTCATTTGGTAACTTATATGGCCAAATTGTTACAAAAAAAGTTTAAAAGATTAACCTGTTACACAAAAATAACTTAAAAGATCTTTGGTGTAGTTTTTTCAAAAAGAAAATTAATATATTAAAAAATAAAGAGTCCTCAGTGGACACTAACGCACAATGATCATTTTATATTTTTGTTTCATTGTATTGTTTCACCACCTAAGTACTGAATCCTATAAAAAAATGCACCCATTACATACATTGTACATATTGTTTCCTCCTCTTTTTTTATTCAATTTTCATCTCCATTATTCACATCATCATCACAACAACCATTTCCCTTTGTTCGTTCTCATCAATGCATCAAGAATCATTATTGTGGGTGGATTTTTTTTTTGTGAGTTGCTTTAGGGATGTAATATCTTGTATGACCTTAAGTTCTCTAAATATTGTCAGTTGGGACAAATAGAGTAATTATTGGACTCAAAAGAGATCAATTCTTATTAAAAGAGATTGATATTTATTAATAAATACAAGAAGGAATATTTTAGTAACATTAATAATTGGTCAGTTGCTCTAGTAGTAAAAAAAAATATCATTTGAGATATTTTCCTTTACCAAATTATATTCTCATCCATTCATTTATCACTCACTCTCCACCATATATATATATATATATATATATATATATATATATATATATATATATATATATATTTCAACCACATCTTTTCCTTTTACAAACTACATATTTTTCTTGTTTCTATCTATCAGAAAGAGAAAAGAGAGAAAAATAGAAGCATGGAAGAAAGGAAGAGAAATAGAAGAAAGGAAAAAAGAAAAAGGAGAAAGAAGAAGAAGATGGAGCCATGGAAGTCATCATCACCATCTATTCATCTCATCTTAATCCCCTCAAGGTGGGTTCTAGTTAGATTCTTCTTTAGAGAAAGATTTCCCATGAAATAGAAAGTTAGATTTTTGTGTTGTTACTTGATCACGGACATAGAGATAGTAAGACATGTTCTATTTTCTATTTCATGCTTATTGATGATTCTACATGTTGATTAATGCCATGTTAGAACCATGAGTTATGTTGTCGTGTTGAAAGCACGTCATGGTGTTAATTGTTTGGTTGATATTCTTGATTCTTGAAGCTATGTTGTTGGTGTTGCATTTATTCTTGTATCGTGGTTGTGTTGTTGTGGTAATGATGTTACGAATGATGAAATTCATGGAATAAAATGCTTGAGCATGTTAGTCATGATGTATTTATTATGTATGATTTAGGGCTAGTTTGTTTTAGCTTTAAAATAAATGAATTTTTTCTTTGTATTTCTGAAAATTGATTCTTCAAAAATGTTTTTCAAAATATTACAAGTTTTTCTAAATTTATTTTTTATAAATTAAAAGACAAATTTTGACATACAAT